GATTACATTAGGCGATTTTCCTTTCATAGTTTGTTACAATATATCCCCATAACTCCAGAAAATTTTGACTAGGAAAAAATTTGAAGAATTGCCTTAACCAGAGGACACTACTTTACAAAAACATACAACCTTTCAAATAATATATATCCCTCGCTTAACTATCCTTTCATTATGTTTAGAGTGGAGTTCACATTCAATGACTACCACTCTAGAAGTGTGATCCCATATGACTAATAGGCTTATTTAAGGAGTTGTCAACCGCTCAGACCTAGAGTATAGAATACTATATAATACTTAAAAGACTATGCAGGTAGCCTCGGGTAAAGGTAAATATAAGTAAAGATATAACGCCTTTAACCAACGTAGTAATAAGATCAGAACTAAAATAAAAAAAAAAAGAATGAAGAATATTTTTCTTCATAGGAATTTAAAAATACAATCAAAATATTTATCAACTGAAGTTATTACAGCTTGAAAAAAATATTTTTTAATTTAATTATTAATTGACAATATTTCTTGAAATTCTCTCGGAAAAAAGGATACTGGAAAGATCATTACAGGGTAATTGCAAAGCTGAAGTAAGTCGCCAGTTATTGATAGATAAAATTTGCTAATTCATACAACTACCTTATTAGAGTTTGCTAAGGACAAACTCAGTGTTATCTAGTGTAGATGGCAATAAAAGTGTTCTTTAATGTATGTCACGCACTGTTTTTATTGATATTCAAGTCGTTTATCCATTTCATTCGCACAGGTCACAGGCGGCTATTAGCTGCACATACGTGTGTAAGATACAAATTTCCCGACTGTTGGAATAAAGAGTTTTTCCCAAAAAGTACTGATTGGATTTTATCCTTGATGTTTTCGAGGTTGTGTCGCGATACATGATCAAAACATGTATATTTTTACTTATATTTTTTTTATATTTTTAGTATTTCAATAAGGTGATGTTTTTCAAATATTTCTCAATTATGTTATTTTCTTGATTGAGTACAATTATTTTCGGTAAGTATTAATTAAAATAATACACTTATGTCATATATTGACATCCAAAGACACAGTTTAATTCACATGAAATAATTTTAAAGAGAAACGTTTCACTTTAAATTATTTAAGTTTTCAATCATCCAACTTTTGCCATTACCTTATCAATATCAACAAAATAATTTTGTTTCACAAACTGCTTTTATTAGACTACCTATGAAGTTACTTTCAATTAAAAACAAAAAAACTGTGACCTTACCATGTTTAAGTTATAACGTAGCTATGAATTATATGCACAATCGTTATATTTATTTTAAACATAGTAAGAAATATAATCAACATATGTAAATTAAGAATCCGATTTAGACCAATCACTGAATTGATCGTGTAAATTGTAACAAAGCAAATAAATAATAATTATCGGTTCGCGTGTTGCGTTCTTTTGGTTCTGGAACAATTTATAAACGGAAGCGAGTAAATTACTTGCGCAGGGTGTTTTGATAGGTAGAATACTAGAACAGTTTTATTATATACATATTCAATATTTGTACACAATCGGAAAAGTGTTCGTGTTTCGCTTAACCTCAGCACGAAATATTATGGAGTGTATATGAGATGAGGAAACACATGAAAATTTATTCGGTAATTTTTAACTTCCTACAAAGAAAAGAGGGCCGATTTTGATGATTCATTTTATATTCAAAAACTGAGTGCTTTTGTTATACAAATTTGAAGAAGGTCAGATTAGTTTTATTTTTTATATCACACTAGCTATTGTCAGACTTTTACTATCGAGTAAATATGACGTTAAACTGTAAGGGAAAAATTTTCAAGAAAAAGAGTTCATTAACAGTTAGAGTTTGCGTGCACGAAGGTAAATTGTTCTTAAGAAAAGAGATTTGCAGTATAGTTGATTATAATATAATTATAACAGTTGTTATGTATTTCGTTGCGTTAACTCTAGGTTAGGTTATTTGTAAACGTGATATTATCCATCCCTAAGTATAATAGTTGTTGCTTTAAATTTACAATTAGATTAACTATATAAAATTTATTGAAGGTTTTACCGAAGTATATCGAGATAAATGATTTCCTTTAAAGTTAATTACTTTTGTTACAATCTTCAGCTCCGCTAAATGATTAAATGCTTTTATAAAATAATCAATCAAACTTGAAAATATTTTATTCATTTTTAAAATAAATCTTCACTGGATTAAAGTGCGTAAATTCACTCCGTTTAAGAATGTTTGCAATAAAATTTCTCAGAACACTTTTTGCTTAGAAAACTTATTATAACTCCTTTTGTTTTAATATACCATTATTTTCTATATTGCTTTGATATCGATTTGAAACCGGGTTATCGTCTCATCAATTTTCACAGCATATGTATTTCAAAGATTGTGACATGTATTTGACATGTATTTCTGGAGAGGACTTGGCATCAATATAAACGGCGAATACATGACGCACCTACGTTTCGCTGATGATATCGTAGTCATAGCTGAGACCATGGAAGATCGAGGAACAATGCTCCAATACCTCTGTGGAGTTTCCCAACAAGTGGGCCTTAAAATCAAAATGGAGAAGACGAAAATAATGTCAAACTCCCATGTCGTACTCACTCCAGTGAATGTTGAAGGCTCTACACTAGAAGCTGTCGACGAGTACGTTTACTTGGACAAATAGTCCAACTTTCAGAGAGAGGTAAATCGACGGATCCAACTCGGCTGGGCAGCGTTAGGGAAGCTACGCAGTGTATTCTCGGCACATCTAACGCAGTATCTCAAGACGAAAGTCTTCAATTCGTGCGTGTTGCCAGTGATGACATAAGGAACTGAGACATGGCCGCTTACGAAGGGCCTCATAAGGAAGCTCAAGGCAATGGAAAGGGCTATGTTCGGGGTTACTTTGCGAGATCGAATGAGAAATGATGACATCGGTATGCGGTAAAGTCCTGGAGTGGCGACCGCGTACCGGGAGACGCAGCGTTGGTAGACCCCCCCACAAGGTGGACTGACGATCTAGTGAAGATCGCGGGAAACTATTGGATGCGGGAAGCGCAGGACCGATCACATCGGAGATCTTTGGGGGAGGCCTATACCCAGCAGTGGGCGTCTCTCGGCTAAAATGATGATGATGATGATGATGTATTTCAGAACAGTGACGATATAATCTTAAAACTTTCAGCTCACAAACTCACAATTCACAGTTATAATAGTAGTAGAATGTACGGACATAAATTCATATTTAATCTTTAAATACGTGATATTGTTATACAAATTGTCTTTGTTGCTCTCCTCATCAAGTCAACCGTGATACATAAATGAGATTAAAAATTGATATATAGGTATTTTGGACTGTAGGTTTGGTTTGGTTTGGTCTATAGGAATAAAAAACTTTTTTACTTACCTTATAAGTTAATTTTCTTTCTTTCAATATAGTATTATACGAGGGTCAAACTGAAAGTTCTTAGAAAATCAAAAACTGATTACATTAGCCAGTTATTATTTTTATTATATCTTTTCAAAATATTGTCCATTCACGTCAATACACCGCTGCATGCGATGGAACCACTGGGAAAAGCACTTTGCCCACTCGTCCTTAGGGGTCTCTTCAATGGCATCGCGATACGCAGCCACCGCTTCTTCAGCATTCATAAACCGCTTTCCTTTAAGTTTTTCTTTAATTTTTGGAAATAAATAAAAATCACAAGGCGCGAGGTCGGGGCTATACGGCGGGTGACCCAGTAATTCAACGTTTGATGTCGCCAAATAGTCGATCGTTCGCTTGGCGGTGTGCGATGAGGCGTTGTCGTGGTGAAGGAGGATCCTACTGCGAGGTCGTTTCTCTCGAACTTTTTCCAAGACAAGTGGCAAACAATTGGTAGTGTACCATTCTGCAGAAACTGTTTTTTGATCCTCTAACACAATTGTTGCAAAATGACCTATCCTTCCAAAGAACGAGGCCACCATTTTTTTTCCCGCACTTCGATCTCTCTTCACTTTAGTTGGCAACTCCTCGAAAGGAAACACCCACTGAGCAGATTGTCTTTTGGTTTTAGGATCATAACAGTAAATCCAGCTTTCGTCACCTGTTAGTATGTCGAACACAGCATTTGAGTCACCTCCGTTAAATCTTTCAATCATTTTACGACACCAATCCACACGATGGAGTTTTTGAGCCTCAGTCAAATTATGAGGTATCCACCGGGCGCAAAGCTTCCTGACCGCTAAATGTTCGTGGAGGATTTTGTGCACTTGACTCATACCGATGCCTAAGCTTGTCCGAATCTGTTGATAGGTCACTCTTTTGTCAGTCTCTATCATACGCCGCACAACACAGATGTTATCTTCAGTCGTCGCCGTAGAAGGCCGTCCCTCACGTAAATCATCAGTGAGATTAGTGCGACCACGTTTAAACTCATTAAACCAGTTGTAAACAGTCGCATGAGATGGGGCTTCATCGTGAAAGGCCAATCGTAGTCTATCATAACTTTCTTGTTGACTTAAATGACATCGAAAGTCATAAAAAATCATTGCACGAAAATTTTCTCGTGTTAAATTCATGATGACGTGACACAGACAATTTTCAATTTGCCGCCAAATCGTAAAACAAATGACAAATGAATGAAATATATACTCAGTAATATTGGCAAAGAGTTATATTTTCAAATTTTAGAATTATTTTTTTATTATATTGTTTATAAGTGGCCAGTTCTAAGAACTTTCAGTTTGACCCTCGTACCAATGAGGTTTTAAACATCATATAAATGCTAATATTTTATATTTAATCTTTACGTGTATCTATCTATACATGATATTACTATACAAATCGTCTTCGTTGCTATCCTCATCAACTGCTGGATATTGTTTGAATACGTAAATGAAATAAAAACTTATGTATTGGTAATGTTTTCTTGAATAAATAACTTCTTTTTATTCACAATAAAACCTAATTTTGTTTGGTGTGCTATTATCTGTATTATACCAATGAGGTTTTAAATATCATATAAATACTCACGAAGGTGGTATACCGCCGACGAAAACGTCTGAGTTGGTGTTGAACTTGCCAAATGCGAATTCTTTGCCGCGCGATGTCTTACTCTGGGTGACACCGTCCACCATAAGCGATGTGTGCTCATCACGTCGAGCCACCTGCACCAAGAAGAAATTAATTCATTATAACTAACATCAGCTAATGTAAGTTCTTTTTTATGGATAAAATGTGTGCCGATCGTGTATTTTTTTTTTATCAATCTAAAACCACATCGAATATATCAGACACAATTACTTTACTTACATTTATCATCAATTTAACCTTCTAATGGCCCCAATTCTTAATTATCTGATTACAGATCTTTAATTAATTGTCTTTTATCAGAATCTATCGCTAAACCTTTCAAAGGTATAGCGCGTTTAAAGTAGTAATCGTTTCCGGAACGAAAGATGATTTGAATGATCAAGAAAAATAATAGAAAGTTAGCTAAACCCGTCGAAAGATTGCAGTTCACATTCAATTTTTAAATGCTTTCAAAGTTTTATTTGCATCTAACGCTTGCTTTAGAAAATAGCTTCAAGTGCGTGAATATCTTCCAAAAGCCGAATTGAATAGGTAAAAAAAAATTGATTGGGTAAAAAAAAGAAATTCTATTTAGTCCGTCACTTAGATAATAGAAAAATATTTGTAAGAAATAGCTTAGATAATAGGCATTAAAGTTTAAGAGTGGGGGCTCGCTACGTCACGGTTTTGTAGAAAATGTACCAAAGCGTGACGCCATGCGACATTTTGTCCAATATAGCCGTAATTAATGATTACGAAAAAAATAAAAAAATACGTGTTTAACATTTTTCTACAATCTATCTATAAACAAACAAAAATTAGTCATCCCTATTGATTACAATAGATTTTAAAATTAGACAAGAAAGCCCCAAATCATAACCCATGCAGACTTGTACGTGTCAACGACCACAAAATGAAGTGGGATAAATGCTTTATCTGTTTCCTCCCCCCGATAATCTGTAATCTGTTTAGTCCCCTATCCAGTTAAAACACTAATTTTAAATTGTTTAATATGACAGCGTACTCTATTTATTATTTAGAAAACAAGTTTAAAAATTGAGAATATACTATAATTTACCCATCTACTTTCAATGCAGACCCTCATATATCCATTAATTCCTATAGCTCAGACACAAGTAATATTTTATTTTATCAATACATCAATGTCAAACAAAATAACCTCGATTTCTTATTACAATAAATATTTTACGCCACACTGTCGTAAACACTACATTTAAGTAACTGTACCGCATCAATAATGGATGAAATCCCATACTAATGGGCACCTAAAGTGCTTCTAAAGCTAGGTACTAAAGATAAGAGCAAAATTTTGAGAAGAGACAACATTTTACCTGAACTTTGTGCCAATGTCCATCGTTAAGATTACTACCGACCGTTATAATCTGAGCTCCGCCGCCCAAATTGTATCGCAGCCGCAACTCACCATTCACTAGTTTCAATTCGAAAAAATCATATGTGCCACCATCGTCAGTGTACAATAATAGACCGTTCGGTTGGTCCGTTTTGAATTCCAATTCTAGTGTGCCGTTTAAGCCGGCGTTCCATTTGCGAAACTGAGAGTATGGGTTCTGTTTGTCGAGTACGAAAGCCAGGTTCCTGTTGAAGGTAAGAGACAGCAAACAGAGCAGTATGTAACGCATCGTAGCGACGTCTTCGGAGGGCATGGCGAATACGGGACGCCTCTATACGACGCCTGACGTGTTACACCTTTTCCGTTTCATTTCTCGGCGCCTGAAACAAAAAGAATGACTGCGTTTTTTAATAATGCATTATATATGTTGTTGAAAGAGATAGATACACAAAATACAAATGATAAGTAATATGGTTTCAACCCTGATGTAACGTGCTGTTATAATCATCACCAACCTATTAATAGGGCTCAGGCCTTTCCTATGGATGCAATCAATACAGTGCAGGTTGGTGAATGTTCACGATTGCAGATGCATTCAGATTTAATGGCTAAACATGCCTTTTGTAGCACGAAGGAGCTCGAAAGAGTAAATTTTTGGTCACTCTTCTTATGACCGGCTCTTGCGAAAGTTACTTAAAAACCGTATCACAGGCCTTACCACATCGAGTTGTCAAGAATAATTAACTAGGTTTTTAGATCAATCTAATGAATGAATTAGTTCGTATTGCCTTTACCTTGAAAGCTATCGGGTACGAATTGTATTTATATCAAGTACATAAGTAATTATTTTTAATTATATTTGTACAATGCTACCTACTACTATAAAAGGAATATATATTACTTAAATATATTAATATTTGTTGATTGAATTTGTCAATTGATTCGATTTCGATGATATTTATAATTTTTACGTAAAAATCGCATCTCAGTAGAATCTCAACTACATGCATTTTGCAACTATCTGCCTGATCTCCAATATTTTAGTGCAATGTTTTCCTCGCAAACCAATGGAGAGAAATATATTTATTATTTTTTTATCTAGTAACAAGAAGTTTTCTAGTAACAACAGTTTGAGTTGTAATTGAAGCGCTATTGACTTTCCATAATTACGCTAACTATAGCGGAATTGGCCTACTGATCTCTTATTCCCTCGATTGTTAGTGCATTCGCCAAGGCTAATTTTGCACGATGTACGAGTCAGACCTTCAATTAGCTCGCTTAGTATAACATTATGTCTGTTTTAAAAGAACAAATATCTAAAAAATAGTGTACGTCAAATAATACAACTACTAGTCTATATACTAAGCTGTCGATATGAAATATAAAACAAATATTCACTGAAAATATTCATTGCCACAAATTGAACAAAAGCATTAAACGTGCATATATCTCAATATCTAGCTCAGGTAAAAGCCACTCGAATAAACAAAAGACCGCCAGCCGCCGAAGCGAGAAAACTAGGCCGACGGAAAATCTGCGAAGCGAAAGCCCTACTCCGCCCCTGGTTATCCAACAATCAATTGAATCTCGAAATAATATGAACTTGTTTCTTAAATATTCATAGAAATATTGCTATCAAGAGAAGTAAAGTAACAGTATTCACATTTTTAACTTTATTTTATCAGTTCCACATCATTCGGCTTAGGAGTTATAAAGACAAATGAAAGTTTATGACTCCTGAATGTTCATTTTACCAAATTCTTAAGTACAATCATAAAGTCCAATTTGTGCCTCATCCACGCCCATCTTCTCGGCTTTATTCCGGGAGAAAAGAGCCCAGTCATCCCTTAACGGCGCTACTTGGAAACTTGGCATGGCCCCAACCGGTTTTTACCGGTTTTTCACGGGTCTTCCTGCTTCCGTTTTTTTGCACCGTTGATCTGACGTAGTTGCATTCGGTGTTATTCGTTCGTGACCTTTTTTGATGTGAACAAGTTGCACGATGGTAAATAATTACATTTTTGGGAAACTTTCATTAACAAATAATAATATTTATACTTATATTATAAAGAGAAAATATTTTGTTGTTTGTTTGTTTGCATCGAATATGCTCCGAAACTACTGGACTGACTTTCGCCTACTGGTAGCTTCACCATTCGGGGTTGACCTAGGCTATAATTTAAGCGAGCGAGTAGCAGGACAACAGCTAAATATTTTAATAACATTGCCCGACCAAACTAATTAAAATGCACCTACACAAACTTTAATTGAAACAAAATTAAGACCAAAATGAGAATGAACCTTCTACTTGTTACAAAACAGAATTTTTATATTATAATATGTAGAAAGTATCTTTCTAACAATATTTAGTATGCATGTTTGTGTTGTTTCAGAAAAGCGTTATAGAGACCACTATTAAAAAATAACAAAAAACTATGATGACTATGGCAACTGTACTGAATAATAATATTAATAAAAAAATTACTGTGGTTGCCTACTTCCATATAGTTCTCGTCCACTCAGACCACTCTACAGGGAATAGATAGATAGATAAAGTCAAATATAGAGAATATGAGCATAGATTGGAAAAAATATATCAAGCAAATAAACAAAATCTCCATTCCTAAGAATAGACTTAAAATTATTAATAGTCTTAGTTTTTTTTTTTATTTGTGACACTTATTATGTAAAAAATATCAATATCACTAAAAAACATGCTTTTTTTTTCAAAGTATAGAACCGACTTCAAACTTAAAAAAGTGAGAAATAATAGTTATCTCAAAAGCGAGTTATTCAAGAAAATAAAAGTATTATCACTTCATTTTCTTGAAGTGTGACGTCGGTTCTTTTTTATCAACTTTCATTGAACTCAATCCATTTCAACTCAATGTGTTTCCGTAATTTCTCGATTTCGAAAAGAAACGTGTATTTATATTTTTAATATCTACTTGACAGACTAAAAGAATTATGTCTTGATCCCTCTTAAAACGTTTTAATCGTTTACGACCTTTCTTCCCCGAAGTATCGACATCTAATGTATATTACTGACGCAGCTATCCTCGTAGATACCGCACACACTTCTGTAGAATATTTGACACACCCCTGGCATAAGATGGTATTATACCGTGGATACGTAACGGTCCCACTGCGGTACCCGTCTTTTTCTATCTCGCTCTCATGATTTATGTGGGAAGGAAATAACCTCCACGGATTGAACTACGTCACTTATCTACTTTATGCAAATGATGTAGTGCTCTCAAAATATTTACCTACATCGGTTACATATTTACAAGACAGTTTATTTTACTAACATGATGTATATAATAAATAATATATTATATAATAAAGCATATTTAATAGTTTGACCTAATTTTAGTAGGTCTTAAAATATTATACATGCGATAAAGACGCTGTACAGGTTACAAACAAATTCAGCAACAGATAATATTAGGTCCAAGTACAACATTTATAAGCATCATTGGTGTATTTGTTGTATACTTTTAGCCAATAAAGATTATTATTAGTATATTCTCTCTTGGCTTTATTTGTTAAAAATATATCACTTATATATTATAGCTTTATTTGTTAAAAATATATCACTAATAACACCCTTATTTTTTATGTGACGCCGAGGTAAATCTTATAAATACTTACTAAGTTTAAAATGCTTAAAAATATAATATGAATCCAAAATAACGTTTGGTGACGATGCCGTCGTCCTTTGTGTGACGTACAAGGGATAAACCTAATAGGTATAGACACATATGATACTTAGATAACGTGATAATCCAGTGAAAGGTGCAGTCTAATGGAAGTAATACAACATAAGGTGTATACATCCAAAGTAAATCGGAACTTTTAGGGCTGTGAACGATGGTTTTCAACAAACTACTGAAACACTTATGTATAAAGTTTAATTAAAATAGAAATGGCCGACTCTAAATTACACTTCACATTCACACTTCACACTCACACTTCACACTCACACTTCACACTCACACTTCACACTCACACTTCACACTCACACTTCACACTCACACTTCACACTCACACTTCACACAAACACCTATTACCTGACTGACGGAGTAAATAGAATTCTTTTTTTTACATCATCTTTTTAAGTACTTGCAGCTCTTGAACTGTTAATCCGATTTTCATAAAACATAGCTAAAACCAACGCGATGAACAAAGCTTTTGATTGAGCAAATCCGCACACAAATAGGTTTATTCATTCAGAAGCTACGGTGCCACGGACCGACAGACAGATATGTCAAACTTATAACACCCCTCTTTTGGGACGGAGGTTTAAAAATAAAAAGTTTGCTAGATTTCTTTTTATAAACAGAATACATTGAAATTTAATAGTATTACAACATGAATATGACTGCTATATTTTGTTAACTAATAAAAATATGTTTGCTTGCCTACTTTTGTAAATAGTAAGACAAATATCAAGACCATTACTGTAAGCATGTGTCGAATTATTTATCGAACAGTAAAAAATGGCGTTTTCATATTCAACAGGCAGTATCCTAAGCTACTTATGTCTGAGCTAAAATCCCTGGACACGTGGACCTTTTTAGGGACCGTGGATACTTTATCATTTATCTACATACAACATGGCAAAATCGAGAAATATAAAAGAAAAATATGAGTAAAGGCCATCGATCGTACGGTCTATTATATTGTAAGAAAACTTATTATGTTAGTTCACTGTACGGTGTATACATAGGAAAGAAAAAATATTTCTTCTATTATAGCTACACTACTTATCTAAGTCTGTTAATAGGAACATAAATTATTAATGCTATACAAAATCTAATCTGTAATTTCTGAAGTGTTTAAAGATCTCCATGACCAAGTCATTCGCACGCGGTTTCAAAATGTCGCCACCTCTGAAGTTCCCGATTGGATTCCAAGTTGGATTCCCGGTCAGACATTTGAAGAACCTCTATTCTCAAATTAAGCCCTATTAAGTTAAGTTAATACATACATATATTACTAATGATAATTTAAATAAAACGCTACAGTAGCATTGCATTAATAGACAAAATATAAATGGTATGTCTATCAATTTTAATATTATACGAAATTTGAGAACAATATATTTACTTTGTCTGTTTTTAATGCAATACGTTTTGAGAAAGACAAACCTTGTCGCCAAAAAAGTATGTTGTGCGTAAACGAAAACGAAACGCTAAGCGCCATTTTGCTTATATTGATTTTAACGTATGACATATTGACTTGACACTTTGGTTAGAGAGCTGTCAGTCAGACCGTTGTCGAGTGATCGGTAGGTCGTGTTTGTGTCTTCTTTGATTTGTGTTTGCTTTGTGAACAAAAAAGATTTAAATATATAACTTTACGTAATGAAATATGCAATAGTTATGAAATGAAAATAAATTAAGCTGTACAACCATTAAAAGTTTTGGCGAAATGACAATATGAGAAAATTACGTAAGTTTGTTGTTAAAAATGCTTTCAAGGGGTTTCTTCCGAAATCTACGGATTTTGAAATTGTGAAAGAATATATCATACCAATTAAAACAGGTGAATTTCTTGTCAAGGCAGCATACATCAGCGTCGATCCTTATATGCGCTCTTTTGCCAACGATCTAGAAGTGCCCTACGATCAGTTTGGCTTTCAAGTGGGTAAAATTATTGAAAGCAAAAATTCTGATTTCCCCGTCGACACTCATGTAGTATCACATTCAGGTTGGCGCGATTACGTTGTCTTAGACGGTAGCGAGGATGAAATGTTTGCTATGAGGCCGTATAAGCCAGAAATTGGAAATTTGCCATTATCTTTGTCTGTCGGAGTTCTTGGCATGCCTGGAATTACGGCTTACTTGGGTCTACTAGAAATTTGCAAGCCCAAACATGGCGAAATAAATGTATAACAAGCGCAGCTGGCGCAGTTGGTTCCCTGGTGGGACAAATAGCTAAGCTCAAGAGATGCGTAGTAATCGGATTCGCTGGCACTGATCATAAAGTGCACGTTTTAAAGCAAGAATTCGGTTTTGATTACGCATTTAACTTTAAAACTATCACTGATATTAAAGACAACCTAATGAGGATCGCTTCAAACGGTATCGACATATTTTTCGACAATGTTGGAGGTGATTTATCTTCTTCGATAATGGAATGCATGAATGAGAACGGGCGAGTAGCTATCTGCGGAGCTATTAGCACTTACGGCAAAGATCTGCCGCGCAACACGAAACCGAACACGCGAGTGTCTGTCGTCGTTGAAGCATTTAGTTTTACACAATGGGAATGGTCGAAACAGATCACTGCACTAAACCAGCTCCGAGAATGGATTCAAAAAGGTTCTATAAAAGCAAAAGAGACGATCACTAATGGATTTGAAGAGTTACCGGCTACATTGGTAGCCATGTTAAAAGGGGAAAACATCGGAAAAGCCGTTGTCAAAATTTAAAAGTTTCTTCTTAGTTTGTATCAGCTAAACCCCGAATAACGTTACATTACATTAAAATTAAATGTCACTCGATAACTATTAAATAGCTTGTGTAATCGATTTCAAATATAAATATTTAGCTGTTTTTGTCCATCAAAAAAAAATTGTTTAAAATAGTTAACAATGATAGACTCAGGGATCCTCACAGAATGATTTATAATGATATTCCGAGGTCGGATAAGTATAGGAATAGTTGTTTGTGCATGTATGTGAAAATTTATAACAATATTCCTAAGACTATAAGAAATCTGAATATTAATATGTTTAAGAATAAATTATATAAGTGGCTTAGTGATAATAAGTTTTAAGACATTAATTATTTTTTTTTTTAATAAATATAAACCTTGACAGTACTAGTAATTATGACATTCAATAACACCTTATCAATATATAAATAATGTATTACAATTTTGACATTGAACATTTTTCTTAATTAAATATATTTGCATGTAATAGAAAAACACATGTACATTAATAATTTTGTTACAACTTTATACCTTGCTTTGGGCAAATAAATTATTATTATTATTAGCATTTCGAATAATATTTTCGGTGTTTACAAAAATTTTACAAAAAGTTTGGGTATATGAGAAAAAAATGTGTTCCTTAATTTTAAGTTTGAATGTTTTAACTGGCATTAAATAAGTTTATTAATAAATAATGCTTAAAATATTTGATTTGTAACTTTTTACCTACAATTATTTTGAAACTATATAACAAATAATTAATCTATAGTTACTGAAGCAGACAATTACAATAAACAGACTCGATAAAAAATAAGTTCAGAGCATGATGAAGGTGTTACCGCAAATACCTATGGCATTAGTTCTTCAAAAAAATTAATGGAATTAGTATCCAAATGTTACTAAATTTTAAATACTAAAGTAATTTATATAGATTATTATATAACATTCGAAAATACTACTAATAACTTAGTAAAACAAATTTCATCAACCCTAAGAAAAAAATATTATACTATATAGAGAGATACGTATTAGTCATCTAGAACTACAGTATATTACTTAAACGAGCGGTAAGATTCTATCTGGATGACCTGTGGCCCATTTAAAGCACCTGTGATCTACAGACAGTAATAAAAGATAAATGCTTATAATGTTATAATAAATTTCACTAGCTAGATAATTTTAAGAGTGCTTCTTGTTTTGTTAATTGGTTGTTTAGAATTTATTGTTTAAAACTTCCATGGTTTGTGCATTATAGTAATATATATTGACGATAATATTTCTACCATATAGGTACCAAATATATCTTCCAATAATAACCAATAATATTGCATTCTTGAAATGATTTATGAAAGCAATTCTTAGCTCCGTTGTATGCTCGACGTATACTCTTTTACAAGACTCGGAACCATGTTTTATATGATTAACCAGCTCAAAGAGTAAGAAACGCCATAAACTTTTTGAAAACGTTTCCGTTAGGGTTTCGGTTATTCAGAATCGAAATAATCGGTTCTTTGAAAGAATAAAACAAAACGGTTTCCGCTCACAATACCGGTTCATTTACTGGCCCTTACAATAATAACTAAAGCTACGAGTATTATTCTGAGATTCCGCCCTCTGCAAGTTTTTTTTTTGAGATCTATGGGAAAAATGGACTAAAAATTGAGATGGTGTATGAAGCTCTGTCCCCATTCTTCTAGGGACTAGCCAAGTTGATCATAGTGGTTATAATGCTCGCGAAACGCTTCTACTCTGAGCGAGTATTTTCGATAGGTTAATAATCATTAAAACCCGAAATTCGATGATAAATTGACTTGGTCGGCTCGTTTGGAAATAAATTTGTAATCAGTGAATTACTTTTATAATCAAAAATTTGAATCCTATCAAATCTACTACCTAAATATCATTCACTCAAATGAGCTTATTAAAAATACTTTTGACATTTTTACCGACCAATTATACAGGACGTCTTTTGGCTGATAATAAGAACCCAGAATGAAGGTTACTCGATGTAATCAAGATTACATTCTGTCCATCTCTCGTTATCATGAAGCTACGCGTCCGTTTAATATAATAAAAAGCTCGTAAATGTCGTTTTGTGACTTGATGCTATCCGTGTGGTTTAAAATTTTGCAATGTAACAATACACAACCGTATATCCACAATATAAATAAAGTTAAGTTGAGAACAAACATTATAGTAATTGTTATTATAAATTTTGCATTTATATATATAGGTATATATATACATAGGTATTATTAATATTTAAAATACTTGAGAAATATAACGTCAGGCAACAGGCAGAACTCGATCGGACGACCTAACTAACAAGTGCTGTTCCAAATGAGTTATCAGAAACCTAACGAGACTGGTGAATTTTTATAGTTCTATATAAACTTTTCAGTCCAATTAAAGCTTTTTTTTTTAAAGAGACCATTTTTATGTTACTTTAACTGTTTTGCGACATCAGCCGCGTAAATAATAGGCATATCACCCTCGCATGATGTAGCTTTCTTAACATGAAAGAATTTTCAATACCCCCTACAAATAAACAAAGTTAGAAATTTTACCTCTTTATAATTTTAGCATAGATTACTTTTCATAAAAAGGTTGATATACCTAGTTATAGGTTGAAAAATCTTTTCATTCATTCAACATACAATCTCATTTCGTTCCAAGTTGGACAGATAAATTGCTCAAGTAGAAAAATAACGTAACTCTAGTACCAATTAATTTCAATTCTTTTATCAAATTATTTTATTGTTTCTGGATCCGATTCGTTTCCTACTTAGTTCGATTCGTCGTCTCTTACATTTGTATTATTAAAGTATAATATCATCTAAGCAGTCGCAGATTCCCACCAAATTACCGGATTGTAAAACAAAATCAAACCAGCGCAAATATAACTTCAAAATACATTTCCTGATAGTAAACTTACAAAACTGGTCACTAACTACATATTAAGGACAAATTAAATCAACTCAACCTTGCCATATAGTTAATACTTATGCTCAGCAGTGACAGCCGGCCCAAAATTGCTAAATTCTAATATCGTATAATTCAAATTACGTGGAGTCGTAAAGTCAGTTGAATACATCTTAGATAACGTCCATTTATCTTACTAAAACGGGCAGTTAGATTGTATCTCGATCTCTGTTGCTTCTATTCTCATGAATGTAGTTATGATAAACTACAGGAGGCAAACATGAATTCTGTCAACGTTTTGTACAGAAACTTTTTTCGTTAATCTTTTTCTTGGTAATAGGGGTTTTAAAATATAAAATAGATAATTTATACTCGGTTTTATTTACAGTATTTCTAATTAGCTATTTGGGTTGGGCTATCTGGATTTGTTCATAAATTACAATTAACGTTATTAAATATATGGTACCTGGAAGACCCAACTTTGCTTCTGATTGCATTGATTTTTTTGTATATGAAACTTAAATGTAAATCGATTCATCGCTCCCGAACCCGCCACATACTTTTCATGAAAAACACGGTGCTGAATCTCGAATTGCAATTCGAGATGCACATCTTACTCTCCCACGACTCCTAGGTTGGCTGGAAGAAATCTCTTCTAGAGATAAGCCTACCTTTGTAACAAATTTATTTACTTGTTTTATGTAAAATTTTTGAGTGCAATAAAGAGTATAATAATTATATCCTATGTAATTATGCATGTAAACAAGAATTTCTCGTTTAAAGGTAATCAGATAGATGATCGAACAATAGAGTAAATATCGATTTTAAATTAAGCAAGTTAGAAAAGGTATATAGTCGAACATTATTATTACATATTTTAATGCGGGTTTTCATATTAAAACAAAAACCATTAACATATTTAAGTCAATACAACTTAGTAAACATTGTAACTTTTTAATTTATTTTAACACACGCTCTAAATCATTGAGAACATTTCGCACCGTAAATATACAGTGTAATTTATAACAGGATCACGGGCCGACAGAGCGTTGGCATACCTTAATTGTGACCGCAGCTTATCGTAGGCTAAAAATGAGTCCATTATTTTAGGACGTGTCTACGCGTCCAGAAAAAGTTATAGGATTAACGCAATGCGATGAAATATAGACGGATGGTTGAGCAGTATTGAACGTTTTACAATGTACACTCAATATACCAATACATTTAGGGAACCATTCATTCCTATACTAATATTATAAATAGGAAAGATTTGATTGACTAGGCTCCGAAACTATTGGTCCGATTTCAAACATTCTTTCACCCTAGAAAAGTTAAATTATACTTGAATGACATAGGCTATAATTTGCTAGGGTGAAGTTGAGGGAAAATACAAAACGATTTTTGCCAGTTTTTTACCTATGTAAGAAAATAATAATATATCGTCGCCCTTAGTACTTACCAACCTCTATATGCCTATGTACCTACTTAATTTTTATTTTTAGCATTTGCATAGGTGATTTTCATTTTCACAATTTTTCAACGATAAAAAGACTCTTTACAAACATATATTTTTCTTAGTGTCAAAAACATTAATGGTGTCTACGAACTTTGCCGCCGTTTGTACGTGCATTTATTTGCATACACAAGTAAGTATCTTGCATATTCTCCACACATATCTTACATTTCTACTTGCAAGTGTGTGCAGAAGCGGGCCGAAGGACTCACATGGGACATATACTTATGTATATATGGGATATATAAGTTTACAACGAAGATCTCTATCCAATTATAGCTAACTAACTCTCCGCCAGCAGCTTCCTCCGCGTGGTCTTGTATTATACATAAAAACATTCCTACCTATGAAAAAAAACCGCATCAAAATCCGTTGCGTAGTTTTAAAGATTTACATAGGGACATGGGGACAGAGAAATGACTTTGTTTTATACCATGTAGTGAAGACTTCACTGAAAATTCTGTCAGCCTCCCGTAAGCGGTGCAACATGATAGGTCATTTTCTACGCTTTGGCTTTTGAAACAAAATATAACTTTGCTTAGAGCAAACATGTTTATGGT